GTACTGGTGGTTAGGACTTTCAGCATGAATTTTTTGGGAGAAACAGTTCAATGCATAATAATCTGTATCTTTTTTGGGGAGGGGGGCTGGCCTTTATGGAGGTCTGAACCCATGACCTTGGTGTTATAAGGCTGTGCTCTAACCAACTGAGCTAACTAGCCAGCCCGCTGTTTGTATCTTGAAAGTACTTTTCTCTGTACTAAATAATAAATGTTCAAAATACTAGTTTCTTCAAGGGTCTTTTTATTCCTTTTATAAGGCTGTGCTCTAACCAACTGAGCTAACTAGCCAGCCCGCTGTTTGTATCTTGAAAGTGCTTTTCTCTGTACTAAATAATAAATGTTCAAAATACTAGTTTCTTCAGGGGTCTTTTTATTCCTTTTTCTTCTTCTTCTTCTTTTGTTTATTTAATTTTACCTTTCAGAGGTATTTTTAAATTTACTTTGAGAAAAGAAAACACAAGTGCTAGATAACCATTGTCAAATTCAAAGCATACTTTTTTCACAAGGGAGCATTCTGATGAACACTCAAATTTGAAATAGGAGTCAATGCAGGCACCATCTATCATTCTGAACGTTATCTAAAAAGTATTTGTGTACCTTTTTATCATCAGCTCCATACTTTTAGGCCCTGAAACACATGCTGATCAAGCTTTTTAGTTTTTCATTTGTTTTCAGCTGAGAATGAAACACAGTAGCTGTGCAAAATAAAGTAGGAGCAAACCATATCACTGGCTTTGGGGTTCCTCAAGACAGTCCCCAGGTTTGGTGATTCAGTAGGACTCATAGGACTCAGAATATAATTACATGCACAGCTATGATTTTATGATAGCAAAAGAATACAAAGCAAAATCAGCAAAGGAGAAAGGTACATAGGGTGAAATCGAGAGAAAACCAGGCACAAGCTTGCAAGACTACTCTCCTAGTACAGTTACACAGGATATGCTCAATTCCTCCAACATGTGATAACATGTGTGAAGAGATGTCTACCAGGGAAGTTCACTGGAGCTCAGCACCCAAGGCACCCACTTCCTAGCAAGTACCAAAATTCCACACTCCCAGAAAGAAAGCAGTTGTTGAGCACAAATTATATTGTTTACACAAAGAGTTGAGGCACTGTAAGCCATCAGTTGGGGAATGGTGGGAACTCTCCCCAAATCCAAATATTTACAAAATTACTGTTTTTATACCCCTATCTAATCTTTCATTCATTCTCTTCTTGCCAACAACTGAAATGAGATTCCATTTTGCCAACTAGAAGATACCAGTGGCTCTCTGGTTATTAAACAGTTCATTGATAACTCAAATATATCCATCCATTTTTTAACAATTGAGATGGGAATTAAAATTTTAAATTAGGCATGTGTGGTAAGAAGGGTGAGGTTACATTCATCTTTAAAATATCAGGAGGTCTTAGTCATTTCTTTCTCTCTGTGGCTTTCTGAAAATTTGCATGTAAACTGAAATTAGATTGTTGAATCATTTTAAATACATGGAAGGTACTTTGAGGAGAGGATTCCTTTATGTTTAAGAAAAAATACCAAAGGAGAAAATACATTCATAATGTGAATTAAAAGGCAGGGTTTTTGTTTTCTTCTGTCATGTCTATTAGTATAGTGTTTCTTTATAAATTACAGCCTTCCTTTTCTGTTGTGCTTTTTGTGTTCTTCATGCACATATATGTGAACCACAGTACTGAAGAAATCTAGCTTCTGAAAAACATGATTGGAGATTATTTGCTCTAAAACAATTTAGGTTTTTTGGTAGATTACCCATATTACCCCATAATCTTACAATAGTTTATTGCCATGTGACCTCATATGTTGTCATCTTCTTATGGATGGCAGATAATCAAAATTGGTCAAATAGGACTGGGACTGAGAATCAGTAAGGTAGTCTAGACTGGAAATGGTAATCCGAGGGTTGAAGACTCAGAGCTGGCATGGGTCACAACAGAAGCCAAAGAGTTTCTAGTATTTACTGAGAAGCCAGAAAATCAGAACCAGACCCAGGGACAGTAGCACTTAGCTTATAGTCTGCAAAGCAGACTATATTCTCTGCAAAGCAGAGAATCATTTGATGGAGAGAAAACAGAGGGTTATTAATGTACAAATGCTGGCATTTACAGTGCTCTTTGTTATCTGATATGATTGCATCATCAACCCTCTGAAATGGGTGCTATAATGTCCTTTATTTAAAGATATTAAGAGACTTGGCCTATGTCACCACAATAAGTAGCAGAGCTGAGAGATTCAAATCTTATAATTCTTCAGACTGAATATCCCATCTTCGACGGTAGTAGTGTTTTTTTTGTTTTTTTGTTTTTTCCAAACTGCATTCCATTGATTCTGAGGGTTCTGCAAAGGTAACCAAGGTGGGGTCATGGGCTGGGGATCCTCATCCCTCCTAGGTCACACTCCATCCCAGCCCCATTCCACTAGAGTAGCTCAGTGTTAAATATTGTGATTATAAATACAATTCCTTTGAACAAAATAATTTTTTTACTGTAAAAGTCCATTGGATTAGAGGCTACTTTTTAGACAGAAATGCCAAAGTGAGACAAAGAAACTGTCCACTAGTGTTTTAACGCTTCTTTCTAGCTTAGGTAAGAAAAATTTGACTTTCCCTCATCCTTAAAGTGAGAACTATCTGAAATAGCCTGCAGGAGTTTCAATATAAGGAAAGACAGGAGGTATGATTAGAGTTTAGAGTTTACTTTTACTACTAGTAATAGAATCTATTTTACAAGGGTAATTTAAAGATATATTTGATCTTGGAATTTTTTTTTTTTTTTTTTTTTGGCAACTGGCCAGTAAGATCCAAACTCTCAACCTTGGTGTTGCAACACCACACTGTAACCAACTGAGCTAATCAGCCAACCCTTGATCTTAGAAATTCTTAATTCTAGTAAAGATGGACCTTAACACAGATGAAAACCCTTTATAGAAGGCTGGCCAGTTAGCTCAGTTGGTTAGAGCATGGTATTAAAATGTCATTTCAGTGTACTGTTTTTCAAAGTAATGTAAATGGACAAAATCTAAATCATTTAACTTTACAGAATCTCGTTCCATCTCCAGCATCATAGTGGAAATCATAGTAGAAATCAAGTAATCATAGTGGAAATTACTGACTTAAAAAGGAGATCAGGCCCGGTGGCGCACTGTAGCAGTGTGCCGCTTGGGAGCACGTTGGCGCTCCCGCCGAGGGTTCGGATCCCACATACAGACCGGCCGCTCACTGGCTGAGCGAGGAGCGGGAGCAACACCAAGGGTTGCGATCCCGTTGCCGGTCCCAGTCCGGGACGGGCGTGACACTGAGGGTTGCGATCTGTTGCCGGTCACGAAAAAAGACAAAAAGGGGAAAAAAAAAAAAATTTGGAATACTGTTCTATAGTCACACATAGTAGAGCTGCAATAATAGTAACCACCATTTATTTACTGAGCTTTTATGTATGTCTGGTATAATAACAAG